TTCTTTCTCTACGACTGTTCTGATCTTTTTTGTAATTAGCTCTCCTTCTGTCGTGATTCTTTCTATTAATCCTATGGTCTAACCTCTCTTTTGCCTTTTTATCAATTCCACCAGTATATTATGTTGGTGTTTCTTCGGCATGACTGTGATATTTTCTTTTTCTATTTTCTTGAGATACATCTCTTATTGAAGGTTTCAACTCGAGAGATCTTTGCCTGAGTTATGGTTCTGTAAGTTTATCTAAGTCATACATTAACATTTGAGGTTTTTTGAAAATAGCATCCTTATGAGATTTGATGAAACCACCACCACTGCTGCAACCCTCCAACACGTGGCCGGATACGAATTCCATTTTTATTTGGATACGAAATAGGTTATGTCACTTTGTAATTATTGGTGTATAACACACTTTTTAAGAACAACAAAGCAAATCACACGTGGCTAACTATTTACGTCTACGCAGGTTTACTAATTAGATAATCAGAACTCAGAAGACTAAACTCAACAGCTATAGGCAGCTTCGAAAGGCTTCGAATGAATGACGACACACGAGTCTGTGGGAGCAGAAGCACGCCTGTCGGTGTGCGGCCACGTGCGGGACTTATTTCATTTGTAAGTGCTGCTCTTTTGGTAATGACGACTGGTGTCAGAGGTAGACATGTTAAAAGAATTTACCACAATGAAAATACAAAAACATATAGAGCAATATTCATTGGTAAAATTCCATTTACTAATGAATTTTATGAATTTCCACAAGGACAAGCTATTTTTATTGCAAAAGATTCAAAATTGGCGAAATTCTTTACTCAAAATCAATAAGAAAAAAATCCTTTTATTTGAAGATCATTTTAAAATGCACAATGACTTTAATAGTTTATTGAAACCTGGGCAGTTATAATGTAAAATTTATTTTAAATAAATATCATTGCATAAATATATATTAAATAAAATTTGTGTAAATTTCTTAAATTTTTTTTGTATTACTTTCAATAGTTATATATTTGGTAAAACACTTATTAGCTTTAAGAGTGAGGAAGGAAATAATTTGTTACACAAATGATTATTTACAAAATAATATTTTATTTTTTTTCTTATAATTGAACATATTTGCTTATTTGTTCATATGGTATTCGTTTCACTAGTTTTTTTTCATCTTTTAATGTTACATCAACACAAAATTCATCTTCTCTAACTTTTTCAAGTACAGCCAATTTATCACCATATTTTCCGTATAAAATCATTACATCTCTACCTATTGATGGAATGACTGTTTCAAGATGTTCTTCATCTATTTTAACAATATGTCCTGCTACTTCCTCTGGAGATTGGAGCTTCACTTTACCAACAAAACTATTTTTATCAATAGTTTCTGTAAGAATCCCTTTTGATTTATAATATTTGTCTCCTAGAGATTTTGTGATTATCTTTACAGATAGCCCTGGTCTTAGCCAACCTTTGTTTAAATCTCTTTCGTCTTCATCTTTTTCTTTTTTTACTCTTTTAGAAATAGATGATTTTTCATCAAATGAATCCAATTTTCGTTTGTTACTACTTAATGGTTCTTGTTTGATTTTCACAGCCAAAGTTTCTTTTTTAG